CCCCAAAACCCCAAAACCCCAAAACCCCATGATCATGTTACTTTTAAAAATCGAGAGAATTGGTTTATAGTATCAATTAAAATAAAATAAACTTGAATAAAAATTCAGCTATCATCTTTATAGTTTTTATGATTTTTATTTTAATCAGTTAAAATCAAATTACTCAAATATCAAGGGTAATTATTCCTTTTTATAAAGTTCAATTTTTTTCAGAACAAATTTCAATTTCGACTTGACTTAATCTTTAGTTACAGGATCAATGTAATTGCCTCTTCCTACCAAACTCTGTAATGAATTTCTTCTTAGATTACTAGATAATGAAAATCTTCTTGATTCATTATATGAGAAATCTAAATCTGGTAGACATTGAAGATTAATAAAACATCCTTGTACAGTTAAATCGCACAGCTTTTCAAATTTTTTAATTAGATTTTCGTTTTAAATATCAAAGCCGATAATAATAAGTTTAATCTTTGACTCAATTGGATTATTCAATTTCTTTTAATTATACCGCTTAATTCTCTTGAAACATGCTTTCAAGTCTCTTTTATCAATGTTATCATTAACAATAGCAATAATCCATCTTTAAGGGCCCTCAAAGTTGTGAGTTTGCATTCTTTCTATCTACAGTTGTTGTGAAATTGCCAAATCTAGAGCGGCATGAAGTCTAAAATTTGATTGTTATAATTAAATATATTTAATATTCTTACGAAGATTTGCTACTATCAGAATCAAAAGAAATAAATTTTGTTTAAAAGCTATTCATATATGTCTTCTTGATTATTTTGTTAAATCTTTTCTTTTCTAATTGAAGATCATTGTTTTTAAACACTCCATCATGAAGAGTAATCAATCCAAAGAAATCTTCATCATCTAATTTATCAAAGACCTAATTATATTAAAAACTATTTTGATTACATTTTAAACAAAGTCATTTAGCTGCTTTTAAATAGACATAAATGGCCCTGGCTTTTGATGATTTAGAATTAATATGACTGATTTCCTATTAATATAAAATTTGGCGAGTTCGAACTTCAGATTGTTGTAATTTTTGAAAATAATTTCATTTTATACTTATAAAAGTGCTTTTAAGCAAAGTCTAGTGATATTGTTATTTTATTTTTCTTCTAGTTTTATACTTGAGTGATATAGTTGAACGGCTTGATCAATATTACCTTAGATTAACTATGAATGGACTCCAAGTACATATGTAAAATACTAGTTTAAATAGGAGGTTTCAATCACTCTTAGACCCATTCAATTATTTGCAAGTAATTTTTATTCTTATTTGCTGATTTGCCTGTATTATCTCAAAAGTTTGATCTATTTTCTTATCTCTTAGATTAAATTACTATTTCTATCATTTTCTGTTTAACACTCATCCTATTAAATGGAATTTTGATCTAAGATTTTTTTGCTATTATAGTATGATTCGAATTCAAGCCTATTTATCATAGTAAGTGTAATAAAATCTAGGAAATTTTTACTATAGCGTAATTTGCTCATTATGTCTTAGCATTATTTTTGACTATTTTTAATTAGTTAAAAGCAAAATGATAGGTTTAGCTTACCTCTTAACAAAATTGAAATAAAGGACTTTATGCTTTTCGCTGCTACATAAAATTTTCATTTTGTATTGTTGCTTCAATTTTCTCAAATATGCTATACTTTTGTTGTATGACCTTGTTGCAAGTATAAATGATTTTGTCTAATAAATTCTTTAAACTGTCAAAATTAATTACTTGATACTCATTGCTATCTTTTGGAATTCTACTAAGGTTTTCCTGCTATTAAAAAATAGCCTCTTAAAAATATATTAGAGGCTTTTTCTCCTTAAGTGTCAGCAAGATACAGCCTATGTTATTGTGGCAGATTCCTCTTTTTATTGATTTTTCACCTAAGTTCTTTGCAATTTCATTGTAGTTAAGTATAGCTCTGCCGTAATTACCAAGCAAAAAAGCTTGCTTAGCAGTTCTCAATGTTTTAATGAATAAAATGGCTGCTTCAAATAGCTCATTTAGTTCTTTTTACCTTTTAGTGTAAGTGATATCATTCTATATTTTCATTTAAGATGAAACTAATTGAAATATACTTATAAAACTATCGATTTTTCTTTTTCTTTTAATTAATTAAAATCTTCATTCTCCTTCAAATTTCTATTTTATCAAATATTAGCTTAAATTACTCTGTTTAATCATGCTTTAGGATCATTTACTAAATCTTCTAATGCAGCTCTTCCATTGGATCGAAGATTGATTCAGAAAATTTTTTCAAGACGCTGTAAGATTATTATTAACAAAGCATCTTACAAAATATGACAAAAGGAAAAAACTCCAAACAATAGTAAATACGGTAAAATGAAATTTATTTCAAATATTTTTTGAAATTCATCTATGATCTTTTCTTTGCCTTCATTTACATAATGAGCGTCAAATATCTAAAAATGATAAGATTTATTTATTTACTAGTCCAAAATTGAATTCTTTGTACTTCACTCCTCCATAAAAGCTTATAAGCTTAATTGAAAATTTATTTATAACCATAGCCCTAATAAAGTTAAGAAATGTTGATAAATATTTACAATTAAGTATTATCTTTCTTAAAGTAAGCAATCTAAATATGCTTGTCTTTAAATGAACCATCGATATTAAAACCTTCAACAACAATGTTTTCATCATCTCCATAGATAATACTTGACATTTATGTTGAAAATTCAGTATAGTTTCCATTATTCTAAATTTTTTATGTATAATATCTTACAAATTATTGAGTTTTTTAAAACAAAATGTAGTTAGACTTTGTCAGTTAAAAATACTAGTTTGATATGAAGTTTTTTACCCTTTAGTTTAATGTAGGGTAAACATCTTAGCAGTGAGCACCATAGTATTTGGAATCAATAGTAATTGGAGAGCATATGGAAGTTCCAAATTTCTTGTCTCTAGCGAATCTGTAAATATCTTCAATAAATGTAACTATATTGGTATTGAATTAGTTAATAGTGTTTACAATTCTAATCAGCCTTTTGCCGTTTATACCATTATCTACAAGTAGGGCTGTATGAAGTGAGAGTTATATTGTTAACTTATCTAGTTCTGCATTATGATACTGGATGATTCGTTCCATTCCAAATTTAGTTGCTCTAAGATGGCTGCATACAAAAGATTTCACTTTCAAATCCAAAATATGCTGAACCTCTCTCTGGTAAACTTAAAGATGCATTATTTAAAGCTTGGAAAAAGAAATAAGAATAACCACAACTTCTAATATCCTCCTATTATGCTTGTCCAGTCTTAAACTAAGGAAATCTATTTCAGTCAAATGGAGTATAGAACCAATCTTATTTAGATTTATCCTCTGGGTAGTCTCCTTGTAATAATTATTAATTGGTTGAATCTACGTTAACAGAAGAAACATAGCTACTGAACTAAGGATTCATTGTTTGATTATTCAACTTTTCATAGAAATATTTTGCTATTACTTAATCGGTTTGGAACTGTAACGTAAAATTACCAGAGATTAATATTACTATTGAAAGTCCATCTTTGATGTTTTGTGAAATAATAAAAGAGGTATCGCTCATTTTGTTGAAGTATATCTTTAAAACTATATAGTGTTAATCAACTAAAGTACTGAAAGGATTGAATTTCTCATTAATTATCTAAGTCATTTTAAACAATGTAAGAAATGAAACTGCGAATAGAGAAATAAGATATAGTCCAATAGATACAAACAAGAATTTGTGCCTCAATTTATGCATATTTAAATATAATGATTAATGGGGTTAAAGCATTAATAAAATGTGAAATATGGTCATTTTAAATCTGATCAGAACTCTTATAATAATTTGTCTCAATTTTTGGGGTTTTGGGGTTTTGGGG